TAGAAAGCCGAGCTGATTCACACAATGGTATGTGCAGGTGGTGGGTTTAGTCCTACCTAACGCCTCAGCCACAGGGTTTTCGAAGTGCTAAAGTTCCCAAAGTCAAGGCCTCTGGGCCCTGGCTCCATGGGCTTTTTCATTGCATACATAATGACACGTCCTCTCTATGTGCCACCTGGAGGGTGGGGAGCCAGGTTCATGCGTGTGGACTACCAAAGCTGACGCGATTGTTTCGGCCTGGGAACTCAGGTGGTGATTATGAGAAGTTATAGGGCCTGTCAAGAGGCCAAAGCTTTGAGAGTGGTCCATGCTATTTGTAACCCACGTCATTTCACTAAAATTTGAATGCGTTAGAAAGCCCACCATACTACATACAATGAGTCTCATTTATAGCTTCTTGGACCCCCAGCTTTTGTGATTTCTTTTTGTAACCATTTGTTTGCTTGCTCGGAGGCAAGAAGGCTGGGTGTGCATGTTTCCTGAAAGGGCCAGCTAACTCTGAGTATCTCCTCTTATTTGCTTGACGGTAAGGGCCCAAAACAACAACAAAGTCCTCGTCTCCAACAGACATCCTGAGATGATTACTGTTGTTTGCTTGCCGGATTTGGAGGGCGCGGTGTGTGTCAATGCTATTTCCCGTGATTACCCTGAAGCCTGAGCAAGACAACTGTTTGTGACTCCCCAAAGCGGATGTCCCAAAGTAGAAAACATCGACTTGCCCTGTAGCTAGTTTCTAAAAGTCACCAAGACAAACTGCCTGCTACCGGCCTGTTCACTGGAGTCCCCTTCTAACAAACTTCTTCCTTCCTCTAATGTAGAGGGAATGGCTCTTCCAGTCTAAGTACTCCTCTATTAGCAGCGATGTTCTGAAATCACTCCAGCCACCATCACCTACCGCTCTTTCACGCCTGGCCAGCCCTTCCTTTACAGAAGGGTCAACCACTGCCCCGACCTAGAGCAGTCAACTTCCAAACCTGTGTTAGCCCCCTCCCAGCCATGCAGACCTCAAGCTGTTAATAGGAATCGTTAATGAGGAAGTGATAGACCTGTTGTTAGTCAGAAAGAAAGAGACAAGCCGTTAGTTTCTGCTGAAAGGAACAGACCGGGAAGGCAGCCGTTAGTAGGAGCCATCAGAGCCAGGCCAAGAGCCTGGAGCCCGCCTGAGCAGGCTGACTGTTAGTGGGCAGCCCCGGGGGCAGCCAGGGATTAGCCGAGGGAGAGCAAGAGTTAGTGCAAGAGAGCCAAAGACTAGCTCAAAGAGACCAAGGTGCCTACTGGAGGTGAGGTACACTCACCCCCAGGTGTGGCCCTGGCTTAGCGGCTGGCGGGCTCTGGGGAGGTGGGCTGGGGCAGGGGTGTGGGTGGGGCACACAGGGAGTAAGACATGACTTCCTGGGGGCCCACAGGGTCCATGTCCACTCCCAGCTGGCACCGAGGATCTCTGCTTCCCTCCTTGCCTTCTCAGTGTGGCAACTAGCCCTGTCTCGAACCCCAAGGAAACGGAAGAGGCTCGTCTCAATGACTTCTGGTATGAAAATGCGCCTGGGCCTACTTCCGGTACCTCCAGAGGCCGATGGAAGGGTCGATGGAAGGGTCCCTCTAGCGGATTTCGGGTGTGGGTAGGGCCCCTCCCACAGGCTTTCACCCTTCTCACGGCCTTAGGCCGAGGGGCAGCCGGGCAGCCCCAGCGTCACATGCGTCTTGCTTCCCAAGCTCCTGACACGGGCGTGCCACTCTGGTGGACACCCGGGTAGTGAGTGCTCCACTCCGTTTTCCCTCTGTGCGGGTAAGAATCCTTTCAGAGACTTTCCGTGAAGGAAACTCCGTGGCCTTCCGCATTCCGGTGCGGGGCACGCCCCTTACCGGACTTCCGGTGTGGCATGCCTTTTGCAGGACTTCTGATATGGGGGCTTGCTCACCCCATTGACTTCCTGTGCAGGCACCTTCTGCACACTACCACGCGCCACTGGGAATCCCAGTCACGCTCCCTCTGCGGGAGCCGGGCCTCCCTCCACGCACACACCCAAGGACGCCCCACCTGCCCCCAGTGACAACCAGACTCCCCCACAGAGGAGACTGGTGGTCCGGTCCAGCCTCCCATGTCCCTTGTCCCATGACTGCCTCCTCCTCTGGGCCACAGGCATAGCTCATAGGGCTGTCCCTTAGGCCAGACCTGTCCCAGTGGCCTTCGAATTCACACGCGGCCAACGTGGGCGGGCGTCTGCTTGCCAAGAGGAGAGGGTCAGCCCCCAGGGACCCAGAGCTCGGCAGGGCCGGGGTTAGTAAGAAAAACCAGGGTTAGTAGAGGCTGGGTTAGTAGGTCAGAGCAGTGCACCAGCGGACAGAGAGCCCTCAGCAGACGCACAGGGGGGCCACTAGAGAAAAGGAAGAACACGCAGGTTCATTAGTGTGTTAGGGGTGGTGGCGCTATTGAAACCCGCCCCCCCCCCCTGCCGCCCACCAGGTTAGTAACCCAACAAGAGAGCTGCCTATGGGGACAAAAGCTAAGAAGGACGAGATGTTAGGGTTCAAAGCGAGGTTTTGCCTCCCGGGGCCAAAGGGTCTGTGTGCAGAACATCCAGAGAGACCAGGGCGTAGGCAGGGGTCCATGATCAGATCAGCCAGGTATTCGAGCCTCTCGCCCCCACCCTCATTTTCTTTGTAAGTATCTGCCATGAGTCAAGGCCTGTCTAGTCATGGGAGGTCTCCCTGCAGCCTGTGAGCCAAATACCTTGCCCCCCAAGCCAGTGCCCAGCAGGGAGGGGGTTTTCTCAGAGCCACCCAACAGAAAGGACAGCATGGGTGTGTCTGATTGCTATGCCCTGTCTTCGAACATGGGTCTGCACAAAGACCCCAGCCCTGAGGACAGGCCTTCAGGAGCCTCAGCTGCCCACATGTCCCAGCCCCTTGAAAGGCCAGTGGGCGGCTTCGTTAGTAGGGTCTGCCTGCGGGGAGGGGTTAGTAGGGCATGCTCGGGCCTGGTTAGTGGGTTAGTCGGTTGGCAGAAGGCCAGGCACCTTGTCACACGCCACAACAGTCCCGGCCGAGCCCTGGGTTAGTAGCTTCACCACACCATGCAACTATGCCAGAGGCCACCAGCTGCAGAGCAGGACCCCCAAAGCCCGTCTGCACCCCCAAAACCGGGCCAAGCCACCATGGATCTGTGTGGGGTGCGTTGCCTTTGTGCTTATCTTCTATGCCCCTGCCGGTGGAGCATAGACACCGCCTCCCCTGCCTGGTTCTGGTCGGTCCCTGCCCAGTGAGCCTGTTCCTGTCACCTGTGTGTGCACACACACACCAGCATCTTCCCCCCAAAGGCCCAGTTAGGCCACCATCTCACGGGATGGCTTGTTCTCCCATGGGAAGCTCAAATCTCCTACACCGTCATTAACGCTCCCGGAAAATGGGGGACATTTCATGCTCTGTCCCAGCCTGTTTTCATCATTGTCATCTGAAGCTCCCCGGCCCCTGTTGTCCAGGACCACACCAGCGGCTCTCACAGGGATTCGGTTTGGTGGCCCTTGGCTCAGCTTTCTCCCCGGAAACCTTCAGCCAAGTCCCAGCTTTCTCATCCTTCAAAGCCTCAGTCTGAAGCCTCCCCAGGCTGCTGCAGCCCACACAGCACTCAGGAGCTTGCCCTATGGCACTGCCCTGTTCCACACTCCCCACGGCTCATCTCCTCCCCCTGGCCTGGGGGTGAAATCAGAAGGTGTGCCCCTCACCTGCATCCCCCTGCACGGTTAGCCCAGCAAAGAGCACACAGCCAGCGCACCCTCTGACTCAGGTGGCCTCTCACTGGCCCAGGATGCATTTCGAGCCAACATGGAGGCGGTGGGATGCGGGTTACTAGGAAGAGGAAGACCCTGAACAGTGCGAGTGGCTAATATGCCCAGCTGCTAACCAAGTGTTTAGAGGTTCAAGTCCAACCTGAAGGCTTTCAGGAGAAAAGTCCAGCGATCTGCTTCTAAAACTCAGCCCTGAAAACCTGATGGAGACCAGTTCTACTCTGACACACAAAAGGGGGTGCCTGTGAATCAGAGGAGACTGACAGGAAACAGGCATGGACAGGCTGGACAGAGAGGTCCCCCATGCCCTGCCAGGTCAGCGATGTGCAGTCCCGGACCCCAGCACCACATAAAGCCCGGACTTCAGCTCCTGGGTGGTGGCAGGATTTATGGGGCTGGCTGACTAGTCAGCTCCAGTTGAAACTGAGGACCAGAGAGGTGCTGTAACTTGCCCAAGGCAGAACAACAGAGCAGGCAGCTGAACCCTGATCTGGCTCCCAAACCCAAGCTGTTCCCTGGACACCTGAACCCTCTCCCCACTAGATCCAGCCAGCTCTGTATCCCCGAGGACTTCCAGTGTCTCTTCCTCCCTCCATCCTGCCCCCGCCCCATCACAGCACTGGCCCCTCTCCTTTCCTGACACATCTTTTGGTCCTGCCCTGTTCTGCCCCACCGCAGGCAATGGCTGCAGCTTCCCTGGTTGCAGTAACCCACCCTGAAGAAGTGTAGGGTTTTCAGCTACACTCAGCTTGGCTACTGCAAGGTTGGTGGTTCAAGATCAACCCACATCCAAAGTACCGACTTCAAGACCTCTCTGGGGAAGGCATTGCCTCGCCAACCATGGGTTTGGCTTAGAGAGTCGTGAGGAAGGTTAGCCTGGTGCCAGTATGGGGCGCCACCCGCTCTGAAGGGGCTATACTCAGGGTGGGAGTGAGTCTACATGCCTGTGACTGGGAGAGGCCTCGGGCATGCAGGGCCTGTCCCTTGCCCACTGGAGCTAGGAGGGCTGTAACATGGAGCCCAGGGTCTAGGTGGGACAGAGGGAGTGACACTGGGGCTCTAAGACCCCGAGGACACAGCTTCCTCTGGACCAGTGGTTCTCAACCTTCCTAATGCTGAGAACCTCTAATACAGTTCCTCATATGGTGGTGACCCCCCCAAACCATAAAATTATTTTCGTTGCTACTTCATCACTGCAATTTTGCTACTGTTATGAATTGGTGACCCCTGTGAAAGGGTCTCATTCGACCCCCAAAGGGGTTGTGACCCACAGGTTGAGAACCGCTGCTTTGGTCAGATGACCTGAGACTCAGAACCCAGGCAGGCTGGCTCTTTCGAGTGAGTCCCCCTGGCCTGAGGCCTCTCCTCTCTCAAAAGGAGTCCCTGTGATTTCAAGATAGCACCCCCTCTGCCCCTCCAGCGCCCCTCCCAGAGCTGAGTGCCTCCTCCCTCTGACCGTCACGGGGCAGAGGAACATGGGGAAAGCCAAAAAGCAATGAGGGCAACTAACAGGACAGCCAGAGACCCCAACTGAGGCCCTGCCAGCCCTCACCCGACCCCAATGCCCAGGTCTGTGTTTTGGCCCCAGCCGCACAGCCCTGGGAGGCCTGGTCTGGGGAAGGTGTGATCAGGGCTCAGGCCACTGGCAGCAATGTGCACATAGTCAGGATGGGGCCTCCAGCGCCAGCAGGCAGAACCCCCACCGGTGGTGGAGAAGGTGAGCTGGGGCAGCGGCCCCCCTCAACCCCAGCCGCTGTCCTCCAGAGCCCAAAGAGGGGCCTTGTCCACGGCCAGAGAGATGACCCAGAGATCCAGAAAACCACAGGCCAGAGTGGCCTGCTCAGGCTCCAAAGAGAGGGTGGGGCCATGATCCTGGGGCCCAGCGGGAGCAGAGCCACCTGGGGACAGGAGAGAATAGAGCCAATGAGGACCGGGCTCCAGCCCCCATCTCAGCACACACACACACACACACACACACACATACACACCAGCTGAGGTTGGGGCCATTCAGAGACCTCTCTCATTCAACTCCCCAGTCCCCAGCCAGGGTAGGAGGGACAGCTTTGAATGCAGAACTTTCGGAGCAGACAAGTGATGACAGACAGGCCCACAGGAGTCTGGAGCTGCCCAAGCATGGGGCAGGAGGGTGGGAGGGAGGGCCCCAGCCTGTGCAGAATCCTCTTTATATCACGCACTCACACTCACACTCAGAGACACACACCTTCCACGATGAGGGGTCTGGCCCCTGGTGTCCCCTCCAAGGGACCTGGAGGAAGCCCGTCTTGTGAAGATCCCTAAGGGTGGGCCACATCTGTCCTGTTTCCCTCTGCTCCAGGAGAAGCCTCCCAGTGTCTGCTGAACAGAGGAATGTTTGGGAATCTATGCCAGGACCCCACCTGCCCACAGTTGTCCCACCTAAGCCCTCCCCAATCCCCAACACACAGAACACTGTCCAGCCCCCTGCTCCCTGGCCAGCTTCTTCCACAAGTACGGAGTTCCGATTAGGCCCGGGACCTGTGGAAGGGCTGGCTGGGAAAGCACACTCTCACCCAGGGCCATCTCCACCCTCACCCCTCCCAAGAACTCACCTGGCAGTAGCGTCCAACCTACAAGTAGGCAGCCCAGGTAGCTCCCAGCTCCTGGCCCACGGAGACCCCTGGACAGGCCCTGGAAGACAACAAAGCCAGCCAACCGCAGGAGAAGACTCCCCCAGGCCCCCTCCCCAGGCCCAGGTCTGGCTACAGTCCTCTGTTCACAAGGAGGAGGCCTGGGGGCCGGGGAGGTGGGGCCTGGGTGAAGCCCCCTCCTCCTCCCTTCCCCTACCCCCGGAGAGTTCCCTACCATCAGGAGGGTCTCCCAGCACATACCTTCCTGCCTCCCAACCAGGGGGAAATGTGACCCAGGAGAAAACTACAGCTGGGTGCCAGCCAGACAGGACCGCTGGATTCAGGGTTAACCCTGCCCCCATGATCTGAGGTAGTGGACAGAAACAGGACGGGCCCTCCTGCCGGGACTCCGATATATGTTCTGCCCTGCTTCCTCCACCCCACCCTCTCCTCCAGCCCCACACACTTGAGGATGCTAGAGAGCCCCACCAAGGAATAGGGCCAGAAGGTGAAACAGGGCTCTTAAGACCACCCCATGCCTCCAATTTCATAAGCCCCAAAGAGAAGCTAGGAACTCCTACCACCGCCAAGCAGCCATCTGTCAAGTTTGACTTTGGGTAATAACTCATTCCCCTTACAGGAGCCACCATGTGTCCAGAGAGGGCAATGTATGGCACTGACCCACCCGGGGCCCCAGGTGCCCGCAGAGCCCTGAGCTGGAAGGTGTCCTCCAAACACCTGAGGGCCAGGCAAAGCACCCCCAGCCAGGAGGAGCCTGGCCCAGTGTGGTGAGCAGGATGGAGGGCCAGACTAAGGCAGCAGGGTCCCCAGTCCCCTGACACTCAAGATGTGCAGGGTCTTCAAGGAAGTAATCAAAGAAGCTCCAGACACCATGGTTTAAAAATAGGAGCTTCAAGGCCAAAAGCTGGTGGGGTGGGGGTAGAATCGCCCTTTCAGGGGCACTCCCTAAGTTGAGAAGAGGCTTGCTCTTTCTGCTGTCTAGGAAGGAAAGGGAGTTGGCCCCTCCCATGTTGAGATTTGAGGCTCCTGCCCAGGTCAGGGGAGGGGAGGTTGGTCAGTGTGAATACTTATCTGCAAGGCTGCTTCCCCGTGTGCAGGGTCCTAAACACCACCTCCTCTCGCCTCTGTCCCGGCACTGGCTGTTTCCACCTACTGTTTCCGTCTACTGCTCTGGAAAGGGACTGTGGGCTGCTCTGAGGGGCTTTGTGTGAGCTCCACTCACCCTTTCGTCCTGTGGGCCCAGAAGAACAGGTATTCACAAGGCAGTGGGGCTTTCGAAGGACACGCCACCTGTCTTCCAGGACAGAACAGCAGCATGCACTAGGGGTCATGCACACCTGGGTGCAACCAGGGCGCCGAAACCCCACGAGCTCAGCTGATGTCTCAGAGCTGCAGGCCTTCCACACTGCACCGGTGCCCTCCCCAAATGAATCTCAGCGGTTGGTGACTTCACTTGAAACACAGCTTAAAGATTTCTTCCAGGAATCTGGGCCACATGTATCCTGCCCTGTGCTCAACCTCCCCCAAGAAAAGCTCAACCAAACTGGCTGCCTTCGAGTTGATTCCAACCCAGGGCAACCGTGGGTGACAAGCATTTGCTAGGCTGGCATCGGTCCGAAATCAGGTTGTCAGGGCTTGCTTCTACCTTGTACCTTGCTTCTACCCTTCTACTGGGTGGGTTCATGGCGCTTAGTCCAGTGTAGACTATTTGCAGGAGAGGCCAGTCCCTGGGGAAGGACAGCATATTAGATAAAGTAGAGGAGAGGAGGGGGCGCGAGGAAATGGACGGACCCCATGGCTGCAGCAATGGGCTCAAGCCTAGGAACTACTAGGAGCCTGGTGCAGGACCAGCAGTGTTTCCATCTACCGTCACAGGGTCGCCACGGGTAGGAGTTGGCTCGATGGCACCAAAGAGTCTTCATAGAAACCCCAAAACAACCTCTTTGGGTCAAGTGGGTTCTGACTCATAGCAACACTGTAGGAAAGAAGAGAATTCCCTCCTTGGACTTTCAGGGCTATAAACTGTTCCAGGAGCAGGATGCCTCGATCCAACTGCCACCCTCTCAGTTAGCAGCCCAGCACTTCACCATGGCGCCACCAGGGCTCCCTCAGGGGCTGTGGTCAGCCATAAAAGCAAACTATCCATACGTGCTCTGACAAAGACAACAACATCATGCTGACTGGGAGATGACAAGCCCCAGAGCTGCCTAAAGTCTGTCACGCCTGCCATCGAGTTGATTTGTCAGCCCTCCATCTCAGGGTACAACTGCCTCCTGTGGGTTTCATCCTGACAGGAGCAGACAGCCTCATCCTTCTCCCCAGGAACAGCTCCTGGGTTTGAACCGCCGACCTTCTGGTGAGTCATCTAGCCAGTTCCATTTACATAAAATGTCCTGAAAGGCAAGTCTGGAGACAGGACGGAGTCTCCATTGCTGAGGGCTGAGGCTGGGGCAGGAACTAACAGTTTATCAGGACGATGGCCTTACTGGGTGATGAGAAAGCTCTCAGTGGGTTTTGTCAGGTTGCATAGCTTGGTCAAGTTAAGAAAAGCCACTGAGGTGTATACTCGAAAGGGGTACATTGTGTGATACCTTCAAATACATTTCTATAAAGTTCAATAAACAACCTCTGCCTGGTGGTGTAGTTGTTGCGCATTGGGCTGTGGTCCTCATGGTCAGCAGTTCAAAGCCACCAGCAACTCCACAGGAGAAAGACCGGGCTTTCTACTCCTATAAACAATTACAGTCTTGGGAACCCACG